CTGGCTTTAAATAACATGCAAAGGGTTGATAAACTGTAGAAAACAAATCAATCTCTCTCATCTAAAGGTATTTTCTTATTTACCACAACACTGATAATACATACATAAGTATATGATAGGATAACAAACAAATCAGAAATATTTATCTAACATGTTTCACTTTTATTCAATCTTCATCAGACAAATTTTATTAAAATCAACCAACAAGGTCTGTTTAACATTTCTTATACATTTTATTCAGATTGTAGATAAGCTGTCACACAACTAGATCAAATTCACACAGTAATTTTCCAAAGTTCATAAAATTCTGTTGAAAACTTTTGACTTTTTCTAATCATTATCAGAGACATTAAGGTTATCAGTGTCATAGAGAAAAGCTTTTATTAATTTCATCTTGGCATATTAAGAATGATCATGGTAATTAGCCATTTCCTTATGAGGAAACATTTGGCATTCAATGACTGAGCCCACTGTGCTATTGCCAGTACAAATTTACAAATATCTTTCTTTTTCCAGAAAATGTTTGTCAAGTAGCTGTTATTGCTCTTTCCACTCTTGATGGGGGTTTCCTTCCTTACCTTTTGTTTGAAATAGTGTGGAATGTCAGTGTCTTGTTCATGTCATTATTTTCTTGAGTTACATGTGCTATCCATTTTAGTTGTTGCTGTTTTGCAATGTAAATACAACACAAAAAGAACAAATTATCACTCCTTTGCTCCTACTATTCAGCCAGTACATTCCTGTTGATTGTTCTACTATATTACAATCCTTTTCTTCTCTGAAAAAATCTCACATGCTCTTATTCAAGAAGACTATAGTCAAAAAACAAAATTATTTGGATGGAACTTAAAGCTCACAGACCACTCTTTTTTTTAATACAGCCATTTTTATTTCAGAAAATGTACCTGTTTTTTGTTTGCATTTGTGATAGAAAAAATTTCTTTGTTTATTATATTAATATTATTACTTTTCTGAAAATATTTTTTCTCTTTCCTGTTCCACACATAACATTAAATTTTTAATATATTTCAACCAATTTAAGCATAACAGAAAGACATATTTCTGATCCAACTAGAAGACATGTCTTTTATGTCTTATACATATACTAGCTGAATTACCCACACTTTGCTGCATGTCACAGATTTTTTTGTAAGAAAATGATTGATTTTAAATCATTATTATAATTTGTTGAGAAAAATGATGCATTTCAATATTACTCAATGATCTTGCCGGTGTGACCTCCATCTTCTGGCTTTCTCCTGCATTTTGGATAGGAGTCATTCCCTTGTTCAAATTTAAATTTAATTTAAATCAAAGGAAAAAAAATTTCAGTGTGTGTGTGTGTGTGTGTGTGTGTGTTGGGAAGAGATTTCCTCAGGAAAAAAATACCAATCTACAATCCTTTACAAAATAATATCCCAATTTTGCTTCAAATCTTTTTTATATTTCTATAACCTTTATTAGAGAAAATGTAACATTTGCAGTTAAAATATAATTTATTTGTATTCAAATTTTGTGACAAATAAAATTTGTTTCTATATCTTAATCCATTCTCCAAGATAAAAATGTTTGTTAATCACAGGTTTCTCTCATGGAGTGATGTTAAATTCTGATTTGATTAAATATATTTAACACCGCTGCATACTTACAGACATGTATGGGTGGGCTCAAAAGTTTTCAGTCTGACAGAGAAACCTTTTAAAAAGAAAAAAAAAATTGATGTTTGGCTAGATTTTGGAAAGTAGGTTAGGCTGCAAATCACTCTTTTGTATATAAATACCTACATTCTTTACATGGATGAATGCATTCCTTGCTTTCTGCTATCATCTCTAAACTGGATCCCCACAAAGCATGTGGACTTAATGGTATCCCTGCAGTAGTCCTTAATTGGGCTCCTCTTCTCTCTAAACTTTATAATAAATGCCTGGTTTCTTCCTATTTGTTGGAAAACATCTGTAGTTCCAGATTTTAAGAAATCAGATGAACTGTCTTATCCTTCTATAAGCCTTCTACCTCTTTTTGACCCTAATCAACTCAAAACTAGTTAATCATCTCATATCGCAGGCTTTTTTTTTTCAAATAAGTAATATGGCTCTAAGTCAACTGTTGATACAGTAACTATTGCTTAAAAGGTTTATCAAGCTTTAGAAAAGAATGGTGTCTGCCAGGGCTCTATCCTTGGAAACTAAGTTGTTCCTAATTTTTATCAATGAGCTTCCTGATGGCTTTAGCTCTCTACTGAGTATCTACACTGATAACAAATCTTTACAGCTGTCTTAATAGCAGGTCTGATTGATTTGATAATGTCAAACTGGCAGCTGATCTCAAAAGTGACATAAAATCTGCTGCCCCAGTTAACAGCAGATTTTATGTCACTTTTGAGATTAACAAACCATTAAATGTTTGTTAATTTTAACATCTCCAAAACAAGACTACTCTCTCTTGATCATCTAAGTGATCTTTTCTACTTTCCATCAGCATGACTTACTTACATCCTAGAGAGTCACTCATAGCACCTTCTTTGACATGACATGGAAAGATTATATTAAATTAATTGCTAGGTCTGCTACTAGAAAACTTGCTTCACTGTGTTGTACTAGACAATTTTTCTCTATCTTACATATTTATTAGCAATTACCATGCTTCAAATATTGCTGCCAAATCTAGTCTACTGCTCCTGCTATATATTTAGAGATTCTTGATAAAATCCAAAGAAGAATCTGCAATGTTATTTGTCCTGACTGGACATCTCAGCTTCAGTTACTTTTCCACCACCATAAGGCAGCTTCCTTGTGCCTTTTCTGTAAATATTTTCATGGTAATTGTTTTGGATGAACTTTCCTCTATGGTACTTAGACTTTATGAATTTAAGCACAGTACTAGATTAGTAACAAGGTCTCATCATTTTACAGTTGAAATGGCTAGGTAAGTTTTTTTGCCAAAATTTTCTTTTTTTGTACTTCTTGCCTGTGGACAATTCTGGCTTCTTGCTTTCCAGCCAACTAATTTTGGTCTTCAAAATTTTAAAAGCAATGTCAATTCTTATCTACTGTCTTCTTGATTCCTAATTAATAATGGTTCTATTTTTCTTATTCTTTCACACTCAGTAACCCCTTGTATCTTCATGGCTTTACTGCCTTGCTTGCGGTGAAATGATAAAAGAAAAAAAAAAAAAGAAGGATTTTGCAGTAATAAGTAATTAATATGTGATTAACAAACAACAATAAACCTTAATTGATTTTGTTAATATTTCAGTGTTTATTCATACTATCTTCAAAATATTACAAATGGAAAAAGCTATTTTTCTTTATTAAAAAAAGAAAAATTGATCAAACAATTTCTACATCAATGTGGAAAAAATATTGAAATATTAACAAGGCAGTTTGTTGATAAAATATTGACTAACATCCTCATCTTTGTTGTTTCATTGGCAATGTTTTGACTGGTTCATTACCCAGTCTTTGTCCACATTGAAGACAACTTCAACTTTTTGTTTTGTTTAAGATGGTGTGTTTTTCATCTTTCTTATCAAGTCCACTAAGTAGAGTTTGAACTCAAACTTTTGTCTTTTGTCCATGATTTTATTATTTAAAAAAAAAATTTAAAATAGCAACTATTCAAGGGAGATAAACACTTCCCTCCAAGAAATGCAACCTACTTTGCTAACAAAAGACAAATATTTTCAAATTTTAAATGTTTTTGTTTTCCCTGCCCAGACAAAAATTGAATCTTTAAATTTCAATCCACATTTAATGCGTGAAAGCAATAAATTTATGGGGGGGGGAGATAAAAGGTAAGGAAATTAAGAAAATTAATTTTTGTAGCTTGTTGAATATAGCTGTATAGTATGCTTAGACTGGAACAAGGCCATAAGTAAGAAGTACTTAGTGAAGATTAAATTTACTACAGTTGAGCTTGCTAACCATTGCAAGGCATCTGTTGAATATGATTGCAATAATTAATCTATTTTAAAAATCCCTTTCTTTAGCAAATTTATAAAATTCATGGCTGTGCTATAAACCATTTCAGCATATTTCAGAATTCTCTCTAAACATGGCAACTTCAGTAAAAAACAAATTTCAGAAAGTTTAACAAAAGTGAAATTGGAGAATAATTTTCTGTTCATCTGAAATAATTTGAACACACTAAAATAAAAATTCAAGTCAAAGTTGCTACCCATGAATATCTATTGTCAAATATTTTTCAGATTTATTGCCAGCCAAGCATGACAAAAGAGAATAATTTATGCTTATTTAAATGCCTTGAAATAAATTCTGAATTCTAATGATGCTACACACACACACAAAGAGGAGGGTGGTGAAATCTTCTCTGCTGAACCAAGATGCACCTCCCCCAACATCCATATGCAGAAAAAAAAGAGAAAAAAAAAAGAGAAAAAAAATTAATTGTATATTTGGTCAGATTTCGGAAAGTGGATCTAGCTAAAAATTTTTGAGTGCTCTCTTCAATGCAAGAAATATTTCTGTAGGTGATCAATATTTGAACAAACAAGAATAGTGTTTAAATTATAATGATTTCAATGTTTACTCACCTTATTTTCAGAACATTATCTTGCTTGCTAATCAAATATTAATTACCTGCAAGCAAGTTTTTCAGAGGTACCTGCATCATACACAAACTCATACAATTAGACATAATGGAAAGAGAGAGATGATATTAGATAGTTTTAGATAATCACCCTTTCTCTCTTACTTTTTGTCACCAGTGTAATCAGTGAAAAAAATCCCTTTCTAAGTAAGCAACTATACTTAACAGATACCTAATATCTCCATCATTCAATTTCTTGTCATTAACTGATGAAAATGAAAGTTGTGCATCCACTTGCAACATAATAATGTTGAACTTTGTTCAGTTCCTAACAATGCTGGCAATTGAAACTTCTCAAATGTTACATACTTTAGAAAGACATTATGCCAGCATATAAACAAGAGTTTCAATCATGCAAGAAGGGGAAAAATATCATGAGAAAGAGTCAGGAGTTATATTTTCTTTTTCTTGAATTCCCCTTTAACTTTTTGAATATTTTGACCATCTTCATCAAATTCATCTACAGACTTTGGCTTATAAGCCCTTTTTTCTTCCTTCTCAATACGTCTTCGGCCAAGATCAGCTGCAAGCATGAGCTTGTGTTTTGACTCAAAGAATGTAAGGATCTCCTCCTTCTCCTGCAATTGCAACAGTTTCTCTTCTATTTCCTTTCGCTTTGTCAGGCGCTGATACATCTCAATTTGGGCTTTCAGAAGATGTTCCCTGTCTGTCTCCCACTGCAAAAAATCATGGATTTGTTTTTCAATGTCTGGCTTTTCCAAATCCGGCAGTTCCTTTAAGGTAAGATCATCCACTTCACATTCCAAATTGGCTTTCCCTTTCAGGAGTTTTGCTTCAGATTTGAATTCTTGAAAAATCACCTTTGAATAGAGAAAGGAATTTCATCAGGGAAAAAAAAAAAGAAAAAAAGAAAAAAAGAACAAAACAAGCACTGATCTTCTTTGTTTTCATTTGATTCCAATATGTGCAATAACCACATATTCATATTTGGCCATCAATAGTCAGTTTCAAACACAGAATGTGTTAGGGTTTTGAAAATTTGTAGTTATCACTAAAATCTTTATTACTTAATTTAATTCTATTATTTAATTTTAGATGAATATGCCTTTCTAATGTACTTGAAACTATGTTCATGTCTGTAAAAAATTAAAATCTAACAATTACAATAATATGGTCCTTCAAAAACGTCCATTAAATAAGATTAATGTAATATGAATTCTCTTGATTATTAAAATTTTTCCATAACGTTAATAAAAAATATCTAACATACGTATCATGGTGTTACTCAGCTGGCAGTTAGATGCCCACCAAATGAGCTTGCATTCACAATGACAGAGGATTTGGGGCAAAACATCACATCACTTGCATCTGTCATTCCCAAAGTTATTGAAATGGGGAACATGATGAATGGTGTTGCTGACAGTAATCACAAAAAAGGATTTTGCAAATTGTATTCAACAGTGGAAGGGACACTTGAATAAATACTGTTTCTGTGTTTTTGTTGATGAAATACTTTCTGGACAGATTTCATATAGCAACAAAATGAATAAACAAAACACACAAGAAAATATTAGTGGAGATAGGGAGAGGCTATAGATAAAATATAAGAATACATTTCAAAGAATTTATTGTATTATTGAAAGGGAAAATGTCACAATCAGTTTAATATTTTCCATATTAGAAATAGAATGGAAAAAGACCAACAACAATTTCCTCAAAATCTCAGCTAAAAATGATATTTTTTCAAAATTTTTAAGATAAAGCATTATCATTATTATATGCTTTGCTATTTTGACCAGTATTCTGATTTTGGTTGTTATAGTCACAATTTGTTTGCCATTGTACATGTATACCTTCATCAGATGTATTCGTGCTTATACCCAGTAATCTCTATGGAATTTTAAACTGAACCCATGAGAGTAAACTGTTTGCATTCCACTTTCCATATTTTGGGAAGATAACGTGTATCAGTTAATACTCACCAGTTTTACTCAGGGTTACATGTATGTTTCTTTTACTGAACCAGAATATATGAATTTCTGCACTACTAGGGATTGAACACACAAATGTATATAAACCTGATGTGTTTTAATCAACACTTTAATCCACTAGACCATATATCTAGTGTCAAAATTCTGGAGCCTCTTATAGAAGAAAGAAAGGAAATTTTACCACTTGACTACAGACATTAGGTTTAAGGCTCTAGAATGACTACACTAGATTGTTCAAGACCCCTCCTGAAAACCAGAGAGTATAATAGCCAAATTGTTGGGAGTATAACAACCAAAATAAGCATGCTGGTCTGAATAGAATTGTTAAAAGCTAAAATCATCTCAAAATCACAGACAAAATTATTCAAATAAGTACTAACTTTAAACCGTTCAAGATAAGCTTCTTTTTCTTCAGCTGTGACTTTCAATTCTTCTCTGATGTCATCTTTTGTAAGAAGTCCAAGTTCTTTTTGGATTTTACTTGGGTCTTGGATACTGGCTTCTTTAAGGCACTCTTCAAACTTTAATATCTACAAAAAAATACATGCAAAAATCAATTACTAGAGGCTATTTCAAAAGACATGATGGGGGAGGGGGATCAAATTCTAACAATATTTGATTGATTACTTTTTGTCTATTTCTTCTTATTCTTCTAAATGAAATGAAAATATAGTAAATTTTATATTATATAACCAATGTCTTTGCATTTAAAAAAAGATGACATTATTTCTTGTTACTATAAATGTTACATGTTGTGACTGTAGATGTAAAAAACAAAACCAAAAAAAAAAAAAAAAACATAACAGATTTTTATGGAAGCCTTCGTTTAAATTTAAAATTAATTGATTTTTCCAACTTACCACTTCTTCATAAATAGAGGGTTGGATTGGTTCATTCAAACATGATTCCAAAAATATGAGTCCCTTGTCAAACTTTTCATAAAGAGCCCATCCAACAACTTGCAAAGAGTTACTGAGGATTGTATTTTCCTTGAAGACTTTACCCAAAGCTACCAATGTCTTCCCAAGTAGCAGTTTTGGTTCAGTAATATCAAAATGATCATCATAGTAAGGTTTGTTTATGTACCTTAACTTTATCCAATTCTCTTCCTGTAAAATTAATAAAAATACAATTTATTGCATTTCAGAAGACTTTCAAATTTTCTGTAAAAAAAAAAAAAAAAAAAAAATCAACATTTTCATAATTTACTATTCATTGTTTTTTTTGTGCAACTAACATTATTTGCAAAAGCTTAGAAAGATAATTCAGGATCAGTTTAACAAACCCATCCAAAGAATAACAATTTAAAGAAGAGCATGTTCCAATAGACACTCTAGTTGGGGGAGTTAAAATGATTTATAATGTAATTTTATGTTTAATAATTTGCAGAACAACCTCAGAAATTTTTATTTCGTTTAAAACAGGTAATTTATAGAAGTTTGACAAAAGCTGAATTGCAGTATTATAATAATTCCCAAACTGAGTTTAATATTAAATTTTGTTAATTAATTAGATAAATATTAACCAGAATGAAAGCAAGCTAATGATAGGGAGTTAATTCTTCATTGAGGATTACATAAAAAGGGCTTTAAGCCCAAACAAATAAATCCCAAATGATTTTCAAAATTGGACTTTACATTTTTTTTTAAAATTACATCAAAATAATGACAAAATTACAAATATTTATTGTGAAATTTCATCAGGTTACTTTCACAGGCTACTTACTATTATAGTGAGTTCAGTCCTCACTAATATATATGACCTAGTGCCAAACTAAGGCTTAGTGGATATAAATACAGTATTATGGTGCAGTAGAACAGCCTGACTATGGAATTTCAATTTACATATGCATACAGATAATGTGACTGGATTGCAATAAATGATAAAATATACACATTACAAAATAAGGGCTGTATCAACAATACTGAGAAACCCTGTTAATGAAATGTTTATCATTCTTGAGTGTTAATATGAGCATCCATACAGATGGTGAATATCATCCTGTGAATACATTATAACATGCTTCTTACCTCTGTTGACACAATACAGTAAGAATTGTAGGCAGGCTAATTAAACAAGTTAGGTATTGTCCCATCATATCTCATACATGTTAAATGGAAGACAGGTAACTAGGGAAGTTGTTGAACATATTGCTATGTTGAGTAGCATGGTCATCACATAAGCAGGCATTATTCTGCTGGAACAAAACATTGACTTCTCATTTAAAGAATAACAGAAGAAAAAGTTGAACAATGGTTTCAGATGTACAGGGTGTGGTATAAACCTAAGTAGCCAGGGGCAAAAATTGAATTGACTCTTATAAAAAAGAGAGTAATGATTGTATGAAAATGTATAGCTAGAAGCAGTTATTATTCCCCTTGAGTTTACACTTCTGACTATAGCAGTGCATAATAGTTAAATAAAACCTTGTAAAAAAAATGAGGTTTTTGCTATTCATGACACACAATACTGTTCAACATTCTCCCCACAAACACCAAAGGCAAGTGAGAATTGTAATTTATGGCTCTTCACACCATGCTGCCAGAAGGTGGTCCTGTGTATTGTGGGCAACTTGTGTCATTAGGGCAGTCTACTTCCCAACAATCTGCGTTGACACACCTGGGGCTTCATTTAATTTGTGCTGCAAATACTGTGTGGTCTGCCACATCTGACATTACAATGTATTGGCTCTTGACAAACATCTGTATTATGTGGCTGTCAAGAAAAGATCATCTAATTTATTGATTGCCTACCGTCAAACTCCCCTCAAATGGCTCTAATAGTGCAATGACACATTCTTGTACTGGATTCTTTCATTATACTGAACTTTACTGTAGCATGTATTACAATGTAAAAGCTCAAAGACAATGTTGTAGTAATAGTAGTAGTAGTATAGCTGAAGACTGGAAATTTAATCAAAATATTTACTATCCATACAAAGTAGCCTACTCAAAATTGGCATCATCCTTCAGTGTTGCAATTTTAGTTATGACATTTATATTACACATACTTCATCTTCATCTGGAGCAGCAGCTTCTTCCACTGTGTCTGGTGGTGACATGTGCATGAAATGTTTGATGCACGAGTAGAGAGAAAGGAGGGCAGTAGCTCTATGGCTGAAATCTTCTTGCAACATCATCTCATAAGCCACTTCAGCTGCATCTAGGGAGAAAAATGTCAGAAAAGAAGAAGAGAACCATTAAGAGTCAACATGGAGAAAAGAATGGAGCAAGAATTAAAGTTAAAACATTCAAAATGTCACTAGAGACAGAAAGAAATATTTTTTATCGTTAAGCATCATTAAAATTATTTTGTTATAAGCACACATTTTCTTTGAGATTTACAGTGGAACCTTGGTTCATAAAATCTAATTCATTCCTGAACTCCAAATGATTTAAACTTTTACAACAGTTCATACACAAAACCAAAGAAAATCATTAAATTTAATACAAAAACGATAAACACAATACTAAACAGATAAAATATAAATGAAAACTTAATTTAATTATACTGTACATGTGCAGAGGTGAGGTTATGGCCTTAGTGGAAGGTGGTGAGGAAGGGAGAAATGTTGAATAATCCTCTTCACTAAAAAACATCAGGTAACTGTCATTTTTCTTAGAACCCTTTGACTCTGCTTAAGACTTACTAAGCCTTGGTCTCATTAAAAATTTGTCCAATGAAATTTATTTTTATTTAAGTTTTGAAATGTTTCTAAAGTGAGACATAGCATTGTCATTGAAAATATTTATGCTGTGGCTTGCTACTACTTTATCAGGATGGCAGCATTCCACAAAACTTTGCATTTCACCTTATTTTACATAAATTTCATGGATCAAAGAACTAGGAACATCCTCTTTTCCTACTTCTTCCTCTGAAAACATTTCCTCCACAATCGCCTTTTTCTGCTGCTCCTGAAGTTGTTCCAATTCTTCTGTATTGAGCTCCCTCTACTCTACTTTATGGCCTTAGAGACACATTATCGTTGACAAGAGCAAAATCCTCAAAGTCTCTGCCAGCAACACAATCCAGCTACAATTTCCTCCAAAACAATTCATAGTCCTGTAAATAACTTGCCATCAATGAGAGTTGAGCAATGGATGATATTAAAATAATCTTACCAGAAGTTTTTAACAAGTGCTTTGGTGTAGAGCTTCTTAAAGTTTGAAAGGGCCTGCTGATCCATGGGTTGAATTAGAGGAGTCATGTTAGGAGGCTGCATTATTCATCACAAGAAGGCACTTCAGTGGCAAATTGTTTTCTTGCAAGTATTTATTCACACTTGAGGCAAAGACTCCATGGATCCACTCAAAGAAAATTGCCTAGTTACCCAAACTTTATAATTAGCCCTCCACATAATGGGCAATTTACTTTTTATCACATTGTTTTTCATAAACATTCTCGGATTCTCTGAGTAGTAAACAAGTAATGCATTTCCACATAGCAAAAGAGTGTCTACCCTTCATTGTCTCGTATCCTGGTAATGCATTCTTTTCTTAGATGATCATATCCTTCTTGGCATTTTTTCCAGAATAGACCAGTTTTGTCACAGTTAAACACTTCCTGGGGAAGAAATCCATCAATTTTTACATAGTCACTAAATTCTTACACAAATTCCTTAGCACTTCTTGGTTCACACTTGCAAATTCCCCATGCCTAACTACACTATGTATGCTACTTCTTTTCATTTCTCAAACTATCCTCTACTAACTTATAAAAAAAAAAGTATCAGCACTTGTACCAGAGCAGTTTTTTTTTACCAGGTCATCATATAATCCACCTTGCTTTTTCAAAAATGATACCCCCAGAAACACTATCACCAACTAAGTTTCTTGTTTTCCAAAATAAGTAACAATTTACCCACTTCTTCAATCATGGTCACCTTTGTTTAGTATGAACTGTCACTCTTCTTACAACATCAGATCTCTTTATTTTTGAGAAGTGTATAGATTGTTTTTGTCATACTGAGTAGGAAGATCGAAGACACAGATGCCATTTTCATGTTTGCCTATTTCTTTCTTCACCTCTATCATGATTTTAGGCATTTTTCTTTTCACTTTGTTGCTATCATTAATCTTCATTGCCTGTCCCTATTTTTTAATTTTAAACAAACAAGGATTAGTTTCATATGTAAAAGTGGAATTAGAAATGCACAAATATCTTCTGTATCCTTTCTCTTGTTCCATCTTTCCATTTTAATATATTACAATTTTTTATGTGTTTCCATCTGTCCTTCAACCTTCATTCTGTCTCTTGATCTCCAACCAGCAAGGGTCATTCTTTCATTTCCATCCTTTTCCTTATGTTTTTTGTCTGTCACCTGTTTTCTTTCTCTTCCTCACTCCACCTAAAGTACTTCCTGCTTAATAATATTATGTAGGTTTCTCAGCCAGAAAGCAAGACTGATTACAACTCAGAAGGGTTACATATTAGGTGAATACTATTAACTTCTGTTCATAGGTAGAAAAGTAAAAGTTGTACATGCAAATAATATGAATAATATATAACTTAATGTTATATGCATACAGATAAAATTATATATAAACATTATATACAAATACATTCTTAATAAACTGAGAAATGAGTTGTACCAAGTAGACCTAGCTGCCTAACTTGAAAATCTACACTCAAAATCTTTGTTTTTAATATTGCTGAGATGGAGGTTTTGAGAATCTATAAAAATTTCTAAATATAATTTACTCCTCAAAAATACTATATTTCTTAATTATGATAGAAATTAGTAATCTATTTTTAAAACTAATTTATTTCTTCTGTACAAATGTCAAATAGCATTTATGTTGAGTTTTTATTATGAATGCATTATGTAGAATAGATTAAAGGACACTGCGTCTTGAGTGAACAAACTCAAAAAAAAAAAAAAAAAAAAAAAAAAGAGAAAAGGGATTGGTTTGTTTTACAGCAAGTTAACTCTTTTTATGTCATTTGATGCCAAAACTGTAACTGAAAATAATATTCAGTTTAAAAGGTTTTCCTTTTTTGAGGTGGGGGGGAAATTATCCGTATGTAATTTATATACTATTATGTTCATATTTTTGAGTAAAGTCTTATTTCTTTTAGAAAGTTTATTATTTTGGAAAAGTGGATTTTGTTGAAAAGTTCTCTCAAATTGTTTACTTGGTAATATCTTTCTCAAGTTTGGTAAAAGTCTTGACAATCCAGCAATATGTGTTTTACTGATAGTCTCTCTTGACATCCTATACATATTGGGGTTTCTTCAGTAGATATTTGTGAGTGATTTAGGTGTGGCCTATGTGGAGGCGGGTCAGTACTATTAATGGCCTCTACAGGGTCATTAACTGCTCAGCCACCATGATCCCATCCACACACAACACGGGTCACCATCCATGGCAAACAGGTGGCCGCTTAGGGAACTTTTACCTCCTGCAGAGGTGCAGTCAGTGTATTCTGAAGCCTCGCCGACAGGGCATGAGAGAGAAAGAAAAGAGAAAATCTTATTTTATTTCAGAAGAACTGAAGCTAATTTTTTGTTTCAACTTTTACCCTCACAAAATAATGCATGCATCTTTCCACGCAGAAATGTATAGCACACATCTTTCCACATGTTCTCTTGTCTAAAAGTTTTCATGTAATGTCCTATTATAATTAAATCTTGTTAATTTGTATAATAGCATTTGTCATTTGTTATTGTTGGTTATCATTCTGAATTCATGTATTTGACCATGTGAAGAATCCAACCACTATAGAGTGGTAAACCTGGCATCTTCTAGACAGGGAGGTTTTTTTTTATTATCTTTTCTTTTTAAACTTTGTGCTGCAGTAATTATCCATAACAATTGTGTTTGTGATCAAATAATTTTTTTTTGTTTCAAAGTATATAAACTTCCTGATTGACCAATGCTGCTTGATATGCTGAAAGATTTCCAAGTATTCATTTTTAACCATCTTTCATAAACACATCGCCCAATATTGAATATCCAATTATCCGTGAACTTGTAAATATCTATGAACAGCTCAAGAAGAATTTTAAGAATGGTAAAGAAGAGATTACTGAAACAGCATGATGGCATGATGATATGAAATTTCGGTTTCATTTGAGTTTTTGGCTTTTTCAAAGAAACTGAAAGTTTTCCTAAAGTGAAGTTTCAAAAAATACCTAATTTAAGTAATGCAAGATGGAATTCTAGGGCAATGCTAGCTCTTTTGGCATTTATTCTTCTGCCAGAGAAAAGGGACTCGCTACTTGAAATTTGTAGATTCATCTGTTACAGATGGGCAGACCATTGGTTTACTGACCAAATCTACATGCTAGAAGCTATGAAGTAGCTTGCAGGTTTACAAAAAAACATTAAACTTCGAAAAAGTTTTGGAATCCAGAACCATTGAGACTAGAAATTTCCAGGACCAATCAGTGTGCAGAACGGGCAATCAAGTGCCTTCAAGATCTTTATGATGTCTATAAAAAGGAGAAAGTTCAGCTTACATTTATTTTTCAAACAAAACACAATAATTGTATATTATTCTATAATTATGCTAAATATTCCACATTATTTTTTTATATAGCTATTTTTACTTGTAGATGTAAGTTTCTAAATGCAAGTTTGCAATTTTTATTTGTAAGTTTGTATATTATGCTATAGACTGTTAAATACGTTAAAAATACATGAGTACTATCCAATTACATCATGAGTAAATTGAAAAATAAAGCTTCTGAAATATTTTGATTTCTTACTCTTATTGCATATATGGTAAAATCATATTTTCAGTTTTGGGGTGACCTTTTTCAAGAACTAAAACAAATTAATGCCTTTTTCATTAAATTGAAATTTTACTGATTCATGACACAGGAACATAGGGTTACAAAAAGTATATATAAAATGCCTGGCTACTTGTTTCTTAGCACATCTCTGGTTTAGTCTGCCTGTCATTGTGGTCTGGCAAATGTCGTATGCAAGCAGTTTTAAGGATCTACAGGTGAGAGCTGGGTGCCAGTAGGAACCAACAGAGGATGAGTTACTCCAAAGAAGTGTGATAAGTCCACCTCTTAATATAATCACATACACCACCAATATCATAAAGATAACAGTACAGCAATCTAATACAAATGGCATAGAAATTCTATATGGATTTGTCATGTGTGTCATAGAATCTCAAACTCAATTTTGCTTTATTGAAAATATACC